CACGAGAGCTGGAGGAAACGTGTACCCTGTTCCCGATGGGAAGCTACTTGAACTCGACAAAAGAGCCCAAGCTGAACCGTTCATTTACAGCAGTCAGAAACAACAGCATTCAAGCAGATTCATTAACATAAACCAAGCCTGACCAGATAACCAATCATAAGACTGGATAAAGGAGCCGCTCGTTTCTATGGAGATGACTGACAGGTGATTTAAACGGCACAGGCTGGTGCTTACATAGGTCATGTGCTTTCACTTACACAGGAACTAAACTGCCTGAACAGCATTAATGGGCCTCTAGTCATGTCAGCACACATGCACACACACATGTACACACACAGATTTTTCTCTGATTGACAGGTATGTTTGTCAAAACCAGACAGCATGAACTGACATAAACTAAAGCAGTTCTAATGACTCTACATCCACATTTCACTTGATGGACTGAAATAAGGAAAAGGCAAAGCTTTAACCTGATCTCAAGGGAAAATGTAACTATTTACAGAGGTGGTGATTTCGTATAAATTCATATGTTGTGAACCATAAAAAAAACACCAGCCCTAAACATAACCAGGGTGTAAGCACATTGTATGAAAACGTGCGATTGAGATTGTATAAAAACATATGATTTTGCCAACAATTTGCTAAAAAGCAAAATAGTTTAAATAAATAAACGGCAATGAATAAACCCCCTCTTCATTATTTAATTATTTATGTATTTGTTAGTTAGTTATGTGTAAATTCATGATTAGGTTTTCTAGGTAAAAACTACATTATATACCATTTTACCTTGTGCTCTCAATAGAAAAAAACAATGCCAAAACAATACAAAATGCATTTTTGTATCAATAGCCTCAAAAACATCTTCAAAAAACATACATATATACATATATATATATATATATATATATATATATATATATAAAAAAAGCTACTATTTTGGTAACAAAGTTTAATGTTAAAGATTTAAATTTTATATATATATATTCATTTTTGGGTGAACTATCCCTTTAAGTTTCATAAACCTTCATGACATCATGAAAGTAATGACTTAAGGTTCAGTAAATCATATGTTAGTTCAATAACCAGCGCATTAAATGAGCTCATTCAATGAAGCATCAGATTGATTCAAACTCGGGAGTGATT